ACGTATGATATTGACATATACTAACCCTATCAGTACACTTGCATCATTATATCAAACTTTAGGCGTTTAAAAGCAGCGCAGAAACAAGCGAGAAGTATTATTTCTTGAGACCTGCAATATATCAGCCCAACTGGCTACGCACTTTTTACAGCGACAGTATTTTTCCAATGTTCTCACCACAATACGACATGGTAATTTTAAATATAAATATACATTGGGATCGTGTTTTTGTAAACTTACTACGTAAATAGGTGACTAAAATATAGACTTTGAAAATTTGGTTTGCAGCCCCCAAAATTGCATCTGGCACCTTTAAGAGTTGTTGTATGCAACTGAGTGAGTGCGTACATCCATAGCCAAATATGGACACCGCAAATGGACCTACGCGTAATCCTATTATTGTCGCGCGACAATGAGCGAGTAGGAAGAGGTGGATTACGTCGCTTATCTCTGCTGACCTTGTTGCCAACGTTAACAAAGTCATGGCATGAAAACGAGTGAACACATGTTCACGGAGAAAAACGATTGTTCAACTCCCATTCTTGTACAAGTTTCCATGTAATGTACCTGCAACTATATACATTGTCTTGCACTGACATTGACAGGAAATTAGGGCAAAGGCCCAAATAGGTACCAGAAAATTTTATCTCATTTCCTAAAATATGCACGTCTGGTGGGGAAAAGGCCATAGGCACAGTCAACCAAAAAAAATTACCATGTCGAAGGAATGGGATCTTACATTTTTAGTTTCAGCTGCAAAATCCAATATCATTTTCACTGCATCCCGTTTTCATGGTGGTTATTAATTCTTAAAATGATTCATCGATCCTAATTTAGATTAGAACGCGTTGCAGACATTCACTACTTGTTCCCTGGGGCTATAATATCTTCTTACATTCATAACTTTTTACATTACAGAGCAGGGCTCGAAATACTTTTTGCATACCTGCACTGGTGCCCTGTATAGTTTTCAGATTACCTCACTATCCAGTCGTGTTGACGTATTTTCCATGGAGATAGTAATTTGAGAGATAACAATGGTCAGAATAATTCGACACACTCTGAAGTGTAGAGACGCCCGCTTACGTCATTCGTTAATCATATCTACGGCAGATGGGTCTGGTTTCAAAATTTTCTTATGCCTACACCAATTTAATCAATTTGTTCTCGGATTAACACGCTTCGATTTTTCTGATTTGCAAAATAAAATTAGGTTCTTAATGCTCATATTTTGGCTCCAACAGTTAAAGAAAGTCTTCCTAGTTATTACAGTTTCTCCATATCAGAGGTTTGATTAAAATTTTCAAATACATTGTTTCAATTAACAGCCGAGCCTGGTAGGTTCACTTTATGGCTCCTATATTGCGGCATTTTACAAACATATTTCTTGTCCTTTTGGGGGTCAATTTCGGCTATATTCATTATAAATTCTGATGTACGTTGTTTCGGATGGGACCAACTCGTTAACTCGAAATACGTTGCCACACATCCATGTTCAACCGGTGAAAGCATGTGCATAATACACATTATGGCGATGTAAACTAAATTATGAATAGTATACGGTAAATCAAAGGCGAGACCAAATCATCCATACATGATCATGCTGTAATGTATACATTACATGACTATATTGTGACTTACACCGTTATCGATAATATTTTGTAGTTATAACTTTAGACTAGATTAGCCAAGTATCCTTGTTCATTTACTGTCACATATTGTACATTGTACCATGGACGACTGTTGCGCAATAAAATAAATTGATAGTGTAAATAGCAGAGAACGTCGGGTTGTGAAAAACTACCGAGTGTACTGAGCTAAAATCGAACAAAACTGCAGTGTTTTCAAAAACCTTCAATCATTCCTACGCCGCCCCATGGTATGTATTTTTTATGACCATGGACTAATCTAAAACATTACGAAAGTAGTGAGTGAGCAACTTCGCTCTAACCCCAGTAATGAACGTGTCCAGAACCTAATGGTTTCTGTCAAAGCAATTACAATGCCCATACATACTGTACTCAGTGGGGTATCTTTGTGCAAAACGTTGACTTGACTTGACTTTATTGGGATCCACATTTAGCTTACAACAAATGTAGCTATTCTTCCTGTGGTCCTTCAAGACACACATGACATATTTACAAAACATAAATACATGGCAATTACAACATTTTAAAACAGATTAAAATAAAGCTATATACGTGTACATCATCACCACTTCATTTCATTCCAGGCGCTGGACATTCTATACAAAAATCTTCTTTTCTGTGCATTTGTTCGAGGTTTAGGAAGGCGGATGGTCTGTGAGTCTGATGTTCTAGTATGGTAACCATGTGACTGCATAGTGATGTTCTTATACAATGATATGGGTTGTTTTTCTTTCATTATCCTACGTTGTTTCTTTGATGGCAAAACGGGTCATCAACCTGCTGTTAAAAAAAAAAACCAACTGAGCAAAACACTTCAAGATGCTACGAGACGACCACGCCTTATATGGGCTTGTCCCTCTCTCCAAATCTACCGCGTACCGGAAGCTCACCCTGGAACAAAAACACAATTTCCTTCCCCCAACAAGAACAACAAGACTGACAAGGAAAACATACATTGCCATGGCGACGGTGGTTGCTGTTAGGGTTATTGTTTGTATGGCACTACCATGATTTTATGATTTTGAGGAAATTGTAGCCTACCCTCCCGAGTGTATTGTGAACGAGTCCCGGGGTGACAGAAAGTTGGGCACGGAGGGGGGGCAAACAGGTTTCCCAAGGGTTTCCAGGAATGTGGGCATGTCAACATACAGAGCTGGGAGGCATTCCTGTGGACATTCCATGCCTGTGGACAAAATGCCTGTACGATTCCTAGAATTCTTGCACACAATACTGTACCATTAGGCTCCTCCCTGAGACGTCGCCAAAAAGACTCTATAATCAGACTGCACATGTAGAGTCTTGCACAAGACAATGATACTTGAAAATAAAACAGAAAATCATCCTGGCCGCACAGGTAGAAACCTCCCTCGTTGACGACCCACTTACTAGTATGATCTTACATTTGCGTCAAGCTGCGCTACTCGCCATGTTGCCATCAACAGGTGATTTATATAACCATCAATCATAGCGTCTAAAAGCCAAAATGACTCCGGAATCCCCCAAGGCTAGAGCAAAGAGCAGAGAGGAAAAAATCCCACTATCGGGGGAACAAAATAGTAGGTCGTTTTCGAATATGCTAATTAAAGGCATCCGATGCAATTTCAGGCCGGCAAAACTGGGTTTTCGAAGACAATTTTCTGGCCATTCTTTTAATGTACTTAGTTGAATCAATCCTATCCGGGAAGCCTATAGCATTCTGATATCTTGTTGTTGATTTTTTAGTCCAGCTATTTCTGGGCGGCACCCAAAAATAAAGAAACGACTCACGTAGCTTTTATTGGGATTATTTCAAATTTTCAAAGTATAAAATTTTGGGAAAACTTGCTAAGAAATGTCAATGTCAATATCAGAAATGTCTAATACTGTATATATGAGATAGAGTTCAATATCCAGAATATTTTGGTTGTGCGTCCTGAAATTTTGGTTATCGCTATCAGAAAAATATAACTTCCACTACTACCCTTTATATAGATCTACTTGCAATCATCTGCATAATGTATGTAGTATTTGTATATGCATATACTTGTATATGCATATACAAATGTAAAATGTCATCTTGTATCCTGTTTGATAGAATGCTACTTTGGACTAGTGCAGTTTTTTTCTGATTCACTGATCAAAATTTGACCACTGTTGACCGTACAGAATGAAGCATTTGTACATTGGGTTCTCATGTGACACGCCGTGAATTCAAACTACACAAGTCACGCTTCGCTAGACCTGCCTGTTATTTCCTGCTTATAATTTCGTTATTCCGCCAGCTTTAGAGATTTGACTTCGCAATCCGTGAATAGCAAGGCATGACAAACGTTACAAATGTACTTGGATTCCTTGTATGCACAGTCGCCGTACCAACCCTGTAAAGAAATAGGGTTTAAACTGTTGATGTTTTGCAATTGTAGAGCATATAGTCAAATTTTGCCTGACCACCTCTTTAAGCCGTCCATCTGACCAGAGCGACCGCTTTTTTTCTCGGTCCCGATTTTCCCCATACATGTAGGATGTAAGCATTGTTTTCCAAAGCGACCCGCACTATTTGGGGCCGCACATGACCCAATCTCTGCCTATACTGAACGCTTCCACTAGCCAATCAGATGACTGTTTCTGTTTGAAAGAAATAACAGTGATACTCAAGTATCACTGTTAACCAATGAAGTTGAAGGATCCAATTTCATTGGTCAACGGTGATATCTTTTTTCCAAACTGAAACGGGCATTTCATTGGTCCACAGTCTTGGGCCCTTGACGTCTTGCCAGACGATCTACAGCTTCAGTCACTCTCTGCGGGTCTGGATGGCGTGGCTGGTCCACAGTAACATTTTATTAACTGATTAATTAACAGTTAATCAATCCATCACAAAGATGTTTTATATGTATCCATATGTAAATTGGAACATGTACTTCAGCATTTTGTTTCTATTGCGCTATATTCTGTTTTTCCTCCCACATATTCATTTAATAGACAGTAGCATATAACATTATAAAGAGTAAATACGAGGTAATGGAAAGGGGCTGAAAGTTATAACTTACCCCAGTCATATCAAGTTGAAATAACATTTTCATTTACATACGCTTACTCCTATGGAGATTTATCACCATTGGAAGTATTAAATTTTTAAAGTTAAGGCATACAATAAAAACATTCACATGTATAGGAAGGGCTAAAAGGTCACTTATAACACATAAAACCAATAAAGCTTACAGAAATTCCTCTACTGTATTCTTTATCTCCAGGTGGCAATTTAACTTCTACCATCATCTGTAACGACCTTCTGTTAGTTTACTACTTTAGAATATATGATGTATCATGTAGCTTTATTCATCACCAAGGAGGCGTAAAAATGATGTTATCAAACAAGCTAGAGGGAGAGCTAGAATTCTTAACCTTTAGGCTGCTGTCGTACCCTGTAAGTAATAAAAATTGGGTGCCAAAAGGTTAACTCAGTAGGGGGGAGTTAAAGGCATCCATTCCAATTTCAGGGCGGCAAAGAAAAATATGTGGATAAAGTTCCCAGTAAAATTAATGAACTTACAGTATTTAAGACTATCTTTTGTCTCAGTGATACATATACCCATATTGCATACCACTTTTTGTTTTGATTGCAATTTCCCTCAGGCATGGCTTTGCAAAAAGGTAATAAGTTATTAAAGAATTACACAGAAATATCATAAACACGACTCCATACGTTTGATTTAATATGAAGTTTGTAAACAAAAACATGCATTATGTAAAGATAACACAGTTCCTGGCTTATCTCAGGGCTTACAGTTACTCGAACTTGTAAATATAAAGATGATTGCTTCTTAAAGTAAGATGATTGTTTAAAGTTTAGATCATTTGTGGGGGAGATATTGTACAATCAATCTTAAGGCTTAAGAAGTTTGCGAAAACACGTACCTATGTAAAACATTTTGAACAGTTGCCAACCTCACCGAACACCAGCCAACCACAGCCGACCTTACTTCCGACCTACTCCCAAGCATGGTTGGGGCAAGTTCGGCATTACTTGGGAGCCTAGATTCAGCTACAATGTATGTGTGACAGGGGCTGACATACATGTAAACCGTATAGTGGAGTGGACATGACTTGGTTGACTCCAGTCTTGCCGCATTTCAAATGAAAATTGACGGTGCTTGGTCAGCTAGCATCTCAGAGGATCCCTTTATTGCAATCTGTTGCAACTTAAATTTGGCACAGACATAATCATTAACATTTTTACAGTAGATATGGCTATAGTCTTGATATAATGCTACATATGCAAAAGTGTAATGTTCCAAATCATGTTCTGCCAGCAGATATCATAAAGTTCATACAATAGCAATTACTGGTGGAAAAGCTTTATTTCCCCAGGCTAAACCACCATGAAGTTCAATAAACTAAACTGAGCTAAACAATGGTCGGCAGCATCAGTCACGAACTTCTTGGTCTGTACTTTTGGTGCACTTCTTTTGCAACTTGCAAGGTGTCGCCTGTGAGACATTGGGAAAGGTAGATGAGAAACAGTATCAAGTACAGCTGGCAGCCAGCTATTATCTTAACTATACACATGCCATCACGCATGTTTATCATTATAATTTCTGTTATTGCGTTAAACACCCTGGAACCTTTTTAATATGTACATAAGTAGTCATAGAGGGTCATGGATGATATTTTAAAAACTAAGAAAAGACATCAAAAGATTTATGAATGTATAACTAATCATTTGCTGAGTTTGTCTCAATCATGTCTCAAAATTTATTCCAGCAACATCAAGAGAAGATGCCAACATTAAGGTTTAGGCCCTTAGAGTTCAAGGGTCATCACCCATGAGGGGACCACTAATGTATCCTTGAGGTACACTTACAAAAAGCCATTAATTCAATTGCACAAATCAATCATCCTGTCACTGCAAAGTAAAGCTGGGGCTGGGGTGCAGAAAACGGCCATATAGGGTGCAACTTAAGTCCTAGTGGATTCAACATTTCCAAACGAATGGAGCGAAGAAAATGGCTTTTGGGTGTGATCAACGCATTTGTAAACTCCCACGTGTGGGTTTTTTCACTCAGAGTGTGAACACATGCTGTTACACAAGCCAGCAGGGAAGAGGGGAAGGACTTCACAATGTAACAGCTGAATCGTACTAAACATCACAGGAATAATACTAAATAAGTGCCTCACAAAGTTGCCTCTCAAAATGCAGGGAATCAGTTAGTAGAACATTAATTTCCTAAATCTGAGAATCATTTTTCAGTAACAGGGCATACATGAGCCGGTATGAACAAATTGTTTGCAATTTCTTAACCCTGTAACCCACTTTTACATATTATCTGGCGTAACACTGTAGATGACCTTGCCAACATGTTTAACTCACCTGTTGGATAGTAAGGATATGTTTTGTTTGCCAGTGTAAAAGGCTGTTCCACTTGTTGGAACACATCCTCCTGGAAGGCTGTGTGGTTAAACTTCTTTCCCTGCAAATGGAATGAGATTTTCATAAGGAAAAAATAAAATAGTAAGTCACATACATGCAATACCTGTATAGGGGTGACTTGTAAAATTTGTGTCTTTTCATCTATTGATACACAATATCAGGTACTGATGAGCCCCCTCCAATGCAAGACAGTAGAACCACTATTTAAAAGTGCTGTTTTCGGCTGAAGAGGGGTAGGGGGTGAGAACTTAGAAGGAGTTCATACATTCAATAGAAATTCTGGGAAGAGAACATATTCAAATGCAGGACACACATATTCGGCTCCAGCTTTTTCTCCAGAACAATTCTGGAATGGAATATACTGCCACATCACTTTGTAACACAACCTACATGTGTACAGTCAAAACCTCAAGTAGGGGTTGGCTCAGCATCAAAGTAGATGTACATGTAGATGTAGATAAGTAATCATTAGTATGTGCGATGCACATTAAAACCACTAGATGTCACTGCTACATGTAACTGTGCTACACCTCACCTCCATCAAGGCTGTTGTCAAAGTTTTAGTCATGAGTGACCACCGCTCCGAGTAGTAGTCAGCGACCAGTCCAGACCATTGTTTGTTGGCATAGTCTACAATCTAAAACAAAATCACAGATTAAAGGTTTGGTTTGGTTTGGTTTGGTTTGGTTTATTTAGATCCACAATTAGCTTAACAATTCATATTGCAGCTATTCTTCCTGTGGTCAATTTACATATACACCTGACACACATAAAATAACTTATACAGACATAAACATGTACAGAAACTCCACAAAAGCACCAAGTGACAGAACAAAGCTAGCTTACAAAGGTAGTTTCAGTCAATGCTATTGTTCATACTACAGTATCTGAAGCCCATCATATGGCCTCCTGAACACTACTAAACTCCTCCCAATCATATTGAATAATTAGGAGTACATGTATGTCAGGAGCAACACACAAACAGGTAACGTTACATGTACCAAAAACTCAGGGACATCAATTTTTTTCCTTTACAATTTTTTTTTTAATGGCTTAACCAACCAAGTTTACTAACCTCTCCATTTGGACCCCAAAGTGTAAGCTGGTTCCTGGCATTAAACTCGTAAAGTGATCTTTCCTGTACAGAGATGGGATAGTACTATGGTTAATACATCTTGAACTTCAGTTGCAGGCTTTATATAACACACAATAGTACACTCCTTTAGAGACTAAAAAGACTAAGCCAGCACATACATTATAGTTTGTATTCTATCTGTCTTGTAATGATATCACATAGTTTTTATAACATTTTTGTGAGCTTGTTCAACCATTGCACCTACATGTAAGCAAGTTTCTGCTGATTGGATGTCCCCCAAACTGCCACTCTGGTTTGGCCAATCAGCACACCTGAATATATTTAAAAGACACACATCACCTGATCATTCGTGGCCAATGCTTTTGCATCTTCAATCCAACGACCCAGAAGAAAGTTCTGGTGAGTTGACAAGATCTTGTCCATATCACTAAGTGTTTGTTGAAACATTTCAGCTGCATCCCTGTAATAAAACAAAGAACAAGACTTTAGGGATTTCACACTTCCAAGAAGTGTTTTAGGTATATAAATGCTGTCATGTATATTTTGTGAAATAAAGTTTAAACTGCACATGTAATGCATCGAGAATATAATTAAAAGCTGAAGGCCCCAGAGACATATTGAAACAAAACACAAATAGACATGACTTGTATCATGATCTGAACATTCATGAACTTTTAACAAGTTGGGCAAGTTAATCGAAATTAAGTTACCTGTGTGTGGGGCCATGCAGCATAGCAAAAGCGGTAGCATGTTCAGCTCAGAACCTAGAGGTCTCGGGTTCAAATCCTATCCTGTCACCGATCTTGTGCCATTAGGAAAGGCACTTAACACTTAACACGACTTTCCTCACTTCACTTACTTACTAGTAGCTTTGGTTAGGGACGTCCCTTGGATAAGACGTTAAATGGAGGTCCCGTGTTTGGGGATAGCCACACCCCACGCAAGCAAAGAGTAGGGGCATGCCCCAGTACGCGATGGTCCAAAAACGACTGTCTGGGAGTTGGTGATTCACTACAAATCACCCGAACGGAGGCCTGGCAAACCTCTCTCTCGTATTAGCCACACGGTGGGGTTAAAATCATCACTACCTAGCTATATATGCGCAAGCTGTAGCAAAGCTGCATTGCCCAAGCAAGCATAGTGAATAGAAAAAGGCATTATATCATGCTTCATCTCTGACAAGGATGACTAAAAACAACAAGTTACCTGAATTTGGTAAGGTCCCCAGACGTGTAAGTCTGCATGAGGTCTTGGTAGTAGATATAGGCCCATTCTTGTAAGGCTTGTCGAGTGATGTCCACAAGATCATATCTACAGAACGATAAAAAAGAGATTTCAGACTTCTGATGTATATTTTGGGTTGTCATAAATTTATTCCAAAGAGACTGCATATATGATGTTTGGCTGCGGTCTCCCTGCCAGATTTTGTTTCGTGAACTTCGAATGAAACTTTTAATCTCAGTCACATTTACTGGCATTCCACTGTCATGCATGTGGCCTGTTCAGAGAACACATACAAACTCTCGCTTTCTTCTTAAATACTGCTGAATTAGTTATTAGACAAATAATTAGTCTATGCATGGTAATTATCAAAAGGCATGTCATGACTTGTTACTGACCTGAACGAATCTATCAAACCCAGATCATCAGAAGCGCTGACAAAGTGGTCCCATGCAGAAAATACATCTTCTGGTTTGTACCAGGACTGTGGTGGAAAAATTTTTGATTTTCGATGTAACGAGTATGACATTTGGTATACAAGCAAACCCAAAAAAAGCATTTATCTATCATACAGCCAGAAAACATTGACCAATCAGAAGTCCCCATTTTCTAATTGATCATGACACCATAACATCACTAGTGAAAGAAGACACGCAATGTACATGTGCATGACTTTTGCACAATGTACTCAAAGACAATTTTCAAGAACCACTCACCCTTTGTGTTTTGTGGAGTTGAGGGCGTTTCACAACAACAGAGTCACAGTGGTCTTTGAATCCGTTTTCACAGTCGTACACACTCCTCTGTGGATGGAAAGATTAGGCAGTTTCTTTATACAATTATACAGTGTATAGTACATGTTCTGAATTGCTCTTGTCAAAATTTAATATTGAAAAGTGTATAACACTGTACAACATGTGATAATATAGTGATAACACACCAAAAGGATCTGCCACGCCTTTGAAACATTGGAGTTCTTTACCCCATACCGTGACCACGCATAGTCAGATGCCCTGAAACATAAACAACCAAAGTTTAGAGTGTCTTCTATCCTTCCGAGTTATATCATTTAATGTCATTTTTAGTAAATGTGAACTCTCATTGAAATCTCAACACTAGGTGCACGTACCCTTAAACCATCAAATTGAAAATTAATATCTACTAAAAATAAATGCATCATCAGTAATCACAAAGCTATGTCCACTTCACATATCCAGGTGTTGGAAACAATATTGAGAAGGCCTAACTTAACATTCTTACCAGTTATCCAAGATTTGGAAAGGCTGTGGCATCCATGCCACTTCGTTCATGAGTTCATACATGACATAGTTCTGGTCGATGCCTTCTGGTGTCAGTCCTGTTCCAACCATTGTACTGCCAAGGTACTTCTGCGCAAGAAACGGGCCCTGTGCCATGAAAAAAATATGTCTCATTAAACCAACACTGTCAGGGTTTATTAATTATTTCCATGACTGAAGTACTGTTTTGGGCAAAACTGCACAAGTTTGTAAGAAAATCAATTTCAATCCTTATAGCAGAAGGGATTTTTGGGTGTGGATGGAGATTGTGTTCCAATTGATAGTCAGGGTTGTGTCCCAGTATGTCCTGGGTGGTAGGATGTTATATGAGTTCCCCAGCAATGTGTACGGTGTATTCATGGTATTAAACAAAAACCATGGTGTAATAGTGGAGTAAGTTCTGTTCAATAAGATGGGTAATATAATCTATTCTATGATGTAACTCAATCTGGTATTTCCCCATGGTCATACAATGTGACAACTTTTCTGGTCTTTTCTTAACTTATCGACTCTTTGCCTTTGGGATTTTTTCAGGCATTTTCCTCATTTGAGATTTTCTAAACAATCTCATTTATTTTTTCAATCTCAAAATATACAATGTATAATCATGCTTGCCTGGTTAACGGACTTGACTGTTCCATACATGCCCAGGTTGCCCCCAAAGTTATGCAGCATACACCAGATGAAGGGTTGACCGTAGAAGGAGTCAGTCGTGTTGTAGAAAGGCTGAACTTCACCAAACAAGTCCAACACAATCATCTTACCCTGGTCAACACATGAGAAAACATACATTTGTAGTGGTCAAGGTAAAGGTCCCATAGCTGCTTCTTAAATAACCCTGCATTTCCCTAATTATTTTTACCTTTGCAGAAGGAAAACAAGTCAATGACCTGGACCACATCTGTCACAATGGTAACTGGTGCTGTAGCAGACAACCTGTGGTGTTTGGTTACATTTTGTAGCAGGGCAGAGCTGAAGGGACAACTCACCATATATAACATATATGTGCTTGAGTAAGAATAAACAGAGCAGTAGCTTTCTTTCTCTCTTTGCTATAACATACATGTACATGTACCTGTGCAACAGAATGCAGTAGAGCCTTGGTCTGAGCTGGCTGCCAGTAATCTCTGTCTTGAAATAACCAGCCCTGCATCAGCCTGTGGTGTGGGGAGGGGGGGAAGGGTGATAGCCTGGGTGCCATCCTCCATAGGTTTCTAATGTTGCTGGACACCACATTAGGGTGCGGGCGGAAACTACGGAGGATGGCACCCAGGCTATCACCTTGGAGTTCTTAAGACACTTCATTAAGAATTATAGTAGAGAAATAAAAAAAACAATGTTTGAGTTTAAGGAACAACCTGCAAAATATACAAAAACAAAAGAGTTCTGTCAGCCTTTCAGTTTTTGATATCTTCTTATTTTACAGCTAAACTGTATGTACATGTATGATATTATAGGAAGACTGCATTGTACATGTGTGTATGATAACTTTTACCACTGCATGATAGAAGCATTTAATAGAGGATTAGAGTCCCTTGAACAAAAATACAATGTATGTAAAACACCCAAAAGGAGAGAAATAATGTGATTTTTGTGGTAGTTACCATATAGCTTGAGGGTCTCCTGCTAACATCCCAGCATACACTGCAGCACCAGCTTTTGCAAGGTAGTCTGGGTCACTGCAATACAACAATCACACCAGTCAGCAGCGCCCTCTTGGAGAAAGCTTCATATTGCAGTTTTTCTTTCAATGTTTTAAATTACAAGGTAAACTATATAAAAATGTTTTCAAGACCAAAGATGTGAATAAAATACAATACCTTGATTTCGGCCGCATCTCATTAAACGTGTCTGCATTGTAGATGTGGTTGGTCCCATTGAATTCTTTAATCATCTGTCAGAAAAAAAATCTACTGGTAAAGGAAATATAATAACATGTATATTCTCTATAAATATGATTTATAGCAGTCTGAGACCAATAAATACCTTAAAGGTTAATTAATTTTTTAATTTGGGTTTTATTATAATTCTTATTGTTTTCACAATTATTACTGCTACAAATTCATAATATGGCAAATATGTGTCTTCCCATTCAACAAGCAAAGCAGTGGTGTTTGTTTACCTCAGAAATAAACATCCCTCCTATGTGAGAAAACAGTGGATCTTGAGGATCAAGCAAGTATGTGCTGGGAGAAGACAAAGATACAGTTACACTCAACTTATTAACAATAAAATCATATCATACGACAATGCAAAAATTTCATCATAAAGTTGCAACAGATTACTATTTCTTTTTCATATCAGAAAAAATGATGCCTCCTACCAACAGTATGGGTCTGTAAACCTCCCCCACTGAAGTCTGGATACAGCTGCCTTGGGATAGAGTCTGGGCAGCAAAAGGTACATTAAATTAGCTAACAACGAATCACTGTTCCTCTTCTTTTCAGGTTAGCAAGTTCAACGAGCCCCATTCCAAAGCCGAAGGCACCCAGGCAACCCTACGTGCCTAGCATGGGAAAACAACTACAGAAACACTAGCAAAGACACAGACACACCGAAAACAGAGCCTTAATACATGGATTAAAAATAATGATGAATTTAAATCTTCAATTAGAAAAAAACAAATTAAATCCAACCTTGTTATAGCTGCCGGCACGTGTCCAGCAAAGCCCGGTAGGACGGGTATCATACCGAAGTTTCTCATCCTGGCTAGGATCCTGTGCTGTAGTGCCAGCTGGTTCTGGTGCCAGGACTGAGACAGGGGGCCGCCCCACCCTCGGATATTCCCCATACGTGCCCTGGGGAAACGCCATATGCACATTACATGCCTGTCATATCGACAAAATATGACACACCAAAATACTACCCTCTACCTGAGGCTTCGGGAGGCAGCTGGAAAGAGTAGAAATCGGCTCAATAGAGAGATAGCATAAGCATGTCAAGGGAGTTGGTCCGTGGAGATAACAGTTTCCCTTTTCTATTCTTTGATTTCTACTCTTTCCAGCCACCTCATGAAGCCTGGTAGAGGCTACCAAAATACAACAACGATGATAGTACACCCTAACCACCCCTCTTGAGATTTTTAATTGGAATAGTCCTTACTCACCATGCCAGAAATGCTGGGCCACCAAAATGCTCATCCAGGTCTTTCTGAGTGAAGCCAAGACTGAGGTAGACCTGTCAAAACAAATAGGAAAATCATCTTAACCTTCAGCTTACTAACATTGTCATGTACATGTAACACTATATTTGACACTGAAATTCTGTAGTATATTAGGAAAAATTACTGTAACTTATACAATGACACTGCTACTATGAAAAATGAGACAAATGTATCAAAACAGGTATATGGTCTATTTACATATGAAGCATTATAAAACTGTCCTCCATAGTCTTTTTTGAGGCTGTAGGGGCAGTGGGTTGTTAATCCACTGTGTCCAGGGCATGGTATTGAAATCATATTTTTGCCTCACAGATGTCAGTATGCTATGAGATAGGGTTGATTTAACTCACTTAGTCTACAACAAATTGACCAAAATGAAAAATTGACAAAATCCAGCTTTCTGCCCTTAAATTGCTTTGGGTGCCTTTAAAAACTCGAGGTTGATTATAGGCTGCAATTCACTTACCCTCTGCCAGATGGCCTCCTGTCCATTGAAGGCCAGAGGGAGGTTGATACCGCTGAGTGCCATCCAGTCCAGATGTCGCTCCCAGCGCGGCCAGTCCCACCAGACAAAGGAGTAACTCACTGTACACACGTTCTGGTAGTAACGATACCTGGAAAAGGTGTTATATTTTATTTAATAACTTTTATACATATACATATTTATTCACTGAGGATTAGGCAAAAAATCAGGATGCTTAGAAGAAGAAACATAAAGTCATAATTCTACTAGATACTGTAAATCACTTTATATCTGTGGTTTTCGCAGTCACTTCTGCACCACAAATTCATTATTACCTCAAACAAATGATTTGCTGACTTTCTTCTGCACCTGCCACCACAGTGAAAATATGGTTCCCCAAAAATGTCAATTTTTCTCAGATTTGCAGTACTCTAGATGTATTTCTGTAACCAGAAGTTACACAAAGCTTTCATTGATAAAAACTGTATTTAGCACATACATGTACACATAACACTTCTACATGAAACACACCTGTTGGCGGTAGCTATGGTGACAGCTGGGCTAACAGGTGGCAGGACACCTGGCAGGTTCACCTGTTGGACAGTCCAGGACACCTGGCACCTGGCGTAGTACTTCAGGTAGTGGTTGAAGCCGTGTGCAGCTGCGACGCCTGTTGTACCCCGGATGACTATCTTACCCCCAACAGTATCCAGCTTTGTAAAGAGAGAAAAACATAAGTTAGTATAGAATTTATCATTGTGCACAATTCACATGTAGGGTATGGAAAATACATAGTTTTACAGTCAAACTTCCTCAAGCGACTACCTTTATAAGCCTGTCATCTAGCCGTAATGACCGCTTTTTCTTGGTCTTAATTTTCCATATTGAAAAAAAAAGCCTAAGAATCCTATGATGGCCCTAAATGCTACGATAAAAGAGCCATGAAGTCAACATACCAGACTGGTATGTGGTATACTAGTATTACTGTACAGTACTAGTAGTATATATTATATTTAAACAATGAATTTTAAACTTTTAATTAAATCACCTCATTGATAAAAACTGTAACAACTAGAAAGACAAGGACTTTTTTCAACTGTTGGGGCTAAAAGCTGAGAATCTATGAGTTGATTCAGAACCTGAACATTTTACAGATAAAAAAATTAAGCGGACTGTCCGAAAACCATAACGTTAAGTGTTAAATAATTTGTAGTAAAAGGTAGAAAATAAGACAATGGACTTTGAAAGACACATTACAGACCTGGAATGCTTCATTACCCATAGGCATAAAGGAAGAGTCCACTGTGACACTGAAGCCACTGAACCTGTCCCCAACAGTTCTGAAGATCATGTCTTCCACTGTCTGTTGTTGTGTGGCATCGTCAACTTTGGTGCGGATGTGGGCTAAGGTTGAGAACTCTGCAAAGTGACAATAACAGGCCAATATGTTAAAGCAATAAAGCAAGAACAGAAAGGTGGGCAAGATGGTCAATTGTGGTTATGCCTACATGTAGGAAAATCAATGTTGTGTTTTCAGTGCCTTCTACTGACATGTTTATTTACAGGCAACTTCTTTTACTTTAGACTTTTTTTAACTCTATTCCAATCAATATGACTTTCTGGAAGATGATTGACTTACCTTTGGCAATACTGAGGCACAGGTGAACAAGAAAGATCACTCCACAACATCTGAGCAAAGTGGATGTCATCTTTTCTGTAGGAAATTTGTTGATAACATCATCATCATAATAATATTTGATAACAGAAGTATAATTGCTATGTAATGTTACATGAACAGGTATAGGCCTACATGTATATCCCTTAATGATTTAAGTATTTATCATTTGGTTAAGGTGTATGTGTATTCTGCCAATGTGAATGTGTGTGTGTGCGCATGTGTGCGTGCATGTGTGTGGCTGTGAGGGTGCATGTGTGTTTGTGTGCATGCGTGTGTGCATGTGTGTGCAAGTGTGTTTGCATGTGTGAGGGTGCATATGTGTGTGAAATTGTGTGTGCATGCGTGTGTGTGTGTGTGTGTGTGTGCAGTGTGCATGCGTGTGTATGCGCATGTGTGTATGCGTGTGGGGGGGGGGTGCATGTTGCCGTGTATCTGTGCGTGCAGGAGGTTATAGGGAACATGCATGTAACTTATATACTGCCGCGAATGCGGCAATATGGGGGAGGGGGGGCGCCTCACCTCTGTACACCGAGACGAGAGCTGAAAAAGGAAAACCCGTTATTAGGTACTTCTGCACATTCTCACCTGGAGTTCTTACGTTATAGTTATGATGTTTTCAGAGCATAGGGACGGGAAAAAACTACAAAACAGACGAAGTCTTGGTTTCCGCTCACACTGTCACGGGACTAGCGGTATTTTACGGGTCAAAGGTCAGTTGGGGTCATTGACTGTAGTTCAAAGTTCAGGATAGAACTATCCTGATTGTCCATCACAATTAGCAGTTCAACAGTTCAACCAATTCGTTCGACCAATGAGGGGTGGCTACGTTTCAGTCAAATATTTGCTGTTTCTAGTTTTGCATTCCCTGACTATGAGAGGAACACTATATTGTAATGCTGCAATTTCAATAAAATAGAAATGTAGATACATTTATTTCAAGGCATCCGAACGATAACTTAACGTGACTAAAAAATTTCGTGAAAGTATAAGAATCATGAGTGTATCTTATGAGTATAATGATCAGATTCTATAAATGCAGATACTTGTGTATCTTTGGAACCTTTGGTGTATACAATAGCTGCTTAATGCGATAGGGTGAGTAGCTCTTTTAAGTCCGGCTTTAAAATATAGTCTGGCTTTAAAGGAATCCACTGCAATTCAAAGGCGGCAAAACAAACAAAAAATATTTGCAAGAGTAAATGTGGCCAATTTAATGCCATTTTATGACATGTCTGTCATTATTCTGTACCTGATGCGTTTGAGCCCCCTAACAGATTACGTTATTTTCTGGGTACCACATGTGAAAAATATACGAAATTTTATTGGGCTCAGGGCTGGGAGTTGTGTCCCTAAATCACTTCTGCCGTTTGTTCTTCAACATCTGAAGAGTGATTATTCTTCCAAGGACTTTTGCATGCATATATAACTGTAATATAACTTGCTCACAATCAGCTTGATTTGATCAACTTTTTTACCAGACGAATCAAGATTTTTGTTGGGCGACGTCTTTTCTCCTGGGCTTGCCGGGGTCCATTATTTTGGTCCCTCCGCTGCTCAAAAGAAGATGAACACAGGGCAGCTTCAGGTGGTTCACGGCGGAGATACCGACGTTATGGATAGTTCAGTATCATCTTCAACGCCAGATGACAATGCAGGTATGTTTTAGTCCAATTCAACCGTTGAGCCTTTGTTGTCGTTATCGCCAATTTCGCGACTCGAAAACTTGAATCTAAGCACGCTTAAACTCAGCGTTAAGGCGACGTTTCATCTCCCTTTCCGCATCTTTGCCACCACTAACATGTATACGTGCTCTTAAAAATTGTCAAAACGTGGCCTTTCTGAAATTACGTAAAACGGGTAGGCCACTTATTTCCACACCTTTCTGGTGCTTCCAGTTGTGTGGCTTAAAGCATATGTTATGTTTCTTTCTTCTTTCCGCAACTTGATTACCCCTATACGTGCTCATTACTTTATAACCCTTATACGTGCCCGCAAATACGGATATACCACTTATTTCGCGCCATTACGGTGCCCGTACAAGTCTTTAGTTGCGTTGCTTTGAATATATGTTATACAATGTAGGTAAATTTGTTTGTTGCAGTTTTGGCCATTTTTATCTGCAGTTTATGATTATATGATATTTGGCCATCTGGATGTAAGATTACTGAGATATGGGAATTAGTCCGGAATCAAACTGGAATTCGGGAATGAAACTGAATGCTAGTGTCATCGTGGTGATTGTGGATCCGAATAAACTCATTCAATTTTGTGACGATAATTCTAAAGGTTATGATGCCGGATTGGATGACAACAACACCCTTACACCGATTGGACAGAGTGAAGGTGAACATGCAACAGGCACAGCAGCTAAAAGTACATTTCCCGTGACTGTCAGCCGTGACATCATTGGTTTGGTCGCCAACAAGATGTACGGGCCTGTATGTGACCAACAAGCTGGACATAGAGGTATTCTTTGTTGATTATTAATCTCAACCTAGCTAGTAACAAATATTAAAACCATAGCATGTCCACAACACGAGATGCCACCCCTCGTATATCACTGCAGTACCTTACAAAGCCACCGGATTGCCCATATTAAACTGCCCTTTACCTTTGTTGTCATTACCCCAACCTACCAACCAAATATTTTGATGATACATGCACCACACCTCAAGTTATAACCTATATATCATGGTGTACCTAAGACACAACCTTCTCGGCGAAGGTAATTATATGAAAACACATGTACAGAGGAATGTTTCTAAACCATTATCTAGCAAGGTTGTAGGTTTTTTTTAACTGACATCCAGTTGGCAGCTTGTACCTCGTATCAAACAAAAATTATCCCTTCATACTAGTATTCAAAACATTAGTCTGGGAAAAGTGATAACAAAATTTAAAAACAGGGATGGTTCTTTATATTTTCCTCCCTGATATTCATTTCGCAGATCGTAACTCATATTAAAAAAATCACCTCTTTGTATTCATAACATTTAGTCTGGTGCATGTAGGGATAAATTTCTAAAGCGATGATTTTTAGTAGCCTCATCGAGAGCAATCAACTACATCAAACAGTGTTTTCTTTTATGATTTGTTCAAAGAAGCGTTTTATCTTAGAACGTTTCTTTACTATGATAATACTGATATGATAATGTCACCCTACTACAGAGGGATGACAAAGCGGTCCTCGTCAACCTGACGGACGAACGACACTATGATAATAACAACCATAACTGTCTTCGCTGACTAGGGTTACTAAGAAATTCTATCTAAGACAAAATTCCATTATATACCATTAGAAGGAAACAAAAAGTATTTTTTTCTTGTCATTTCTTCATGAATCAACCATACTCCATTGCAAGTAAGCGGCATTCAAGCGGAGTTACCAAAATATGATCTGATGCCATACAAGAGTGCTTAAATGCTGGGAACACAGCAGTCAGCCATGTGTGTTTACAATTTCTGGTAGTTACAATCACACATAAGATTATTTGAAATAAAATATTTCAATTTTTGGTGCAAAGATGGTACATAATGCCCCTTTTAAGTATTTCTCACTCCTATACTCCTATTTCTCACACTGTTCTGTATAGAACAACCGACGATTCCTACCAGACACGAGGAAACTGAGATTGCCGACGCTGTCCTTGATGACTGCGATGACGACCCTAATAATGACCACGTGTACAACAACAGGGATGACTTCTACAACCTACAGCAGACCAGTGAGGACAATGGCTATGGTGAACAACCGGCTGATACAGAAGAAGACACTACAGAGACAAGTAACGACCAAAGGGGCGCCGAAAGGGATGACAACAGCACCCCTAGGTCGATCGGTGACCCAAAGAATATTGCCTGTGAACATGCAACCGGCACAGCTGCTGAGAGCACATTTCCCGTGACTGTCAGCCGTAACATCATTGGATTGGTCGGCAACACGATGTACGCGCCTGCATGCGACCAACAAGCTGGTCATTCAGGTATTTTTTGTTAATTTATCATATTGATCTCCCTAGTAAGCAAATATTAAAACCATAGCATGTTCACTACACGGGATGCCACGCCTCGTATATCACTGCAGTACCTTACAAAGCCACTGGATTACCCATATTGACCTCGACCTGTGTACGAGTAGTCCCTACCCCAACCTACCTACCAAATATCTAAGTTGATGATACATGCACCACACCTATAACCAATATATCATGGTGTACCTAAGACACAACCTTCTCGACGAAGGTAATTATATGAAAACATAGAGTAATGTTTCTGAAACATTATCTAGCAAGGTTTTAGGTTTATATTCAAAACATTAGTCTTGGATAAGTGATCATGATAAATTCAAAAACAAGGATGATTCTTTATATTTTCGTCCCTGATATTCATTTCGCAGATTGTATCTCATATTGAAACAAAAAAAACATCTCTTTGTATTCAAAACATTTAGTCTGGAGCAAGTGAGGACAAATTTCTAAAGCGATGATATTTAGTAGCCTCATCGCGATCAATCAACTACATCAAACAGTGTTTTCTTTTATGATTTGTTCAAAGAAGCGTTTTACCTGAGAACGTTTCTTTACTATGATAATATTTATTTATTTATTTATTTATTTGACTTTCCATTGCAACATGAAGTAGCATGGAGGAGAGACAAAACAGGTGCATATATGCACCTCTGCCAGTTGTCTCTCCACATACAAAATACATTATAAAACAGTAATAATACAAAAATAGACAATTTAAATGACAACATACAATAACATATTTAAGATATATGATAATATAGTGGCAACTATAGGGCAGTTATCGCGGCCTTGTGGCCATACAGGTCGTACATAACAACCGTAGCTGCCTTCGCTGACCAGGGTACTTCATCTAAAAAGATCTGTCTAAAACAGCGGTATTTCATTATGTAACAATTGGAGGAAACAAAAAATAAATTTTCTGGTCATTTCTTTGTAGTGGGCTGGATGTGTGCTGTTTTAGCGACAATGAGAAATGTGAAACTGCACAAATACGTTGAAATGTTAATTACTACCACACCAAGATTCTTTCAATCAAAATATTTCTATTTTTGATGCAAGAAATGTTAAATAATGCCCCTTTTAGATATAAATTTCTCACAAATACCTTCTCTCTACCACCCTCACCCCCCCCCCCCCACCTGTACTGCACAGAACAACCGACGATTCCCACCAGACACGAGGAAACTGAGATTGCCGACGCTGTCCTTGATGACTGCGATGACGACCCTAATAATGACCACGTGTACAACAACAGGGATGACTTTAACAGCCTACAGCACGACGACCCTGACAACCACATCTACAACAACAGGGATGACTTCAACAGTCTACAGCAGGCTAGTGGGGACAATGGATATGGCGACCAACCAGCTGATAAAGAAGAGGACACTAAACAGACAATTAACGACCAAAAGGACGCCTCTGGCATGCTAAAGAATCCAATGTACATACCAGGTGCATTTCGACAAAATAACTACAAAGGTATACACATTTATCTCCAAGAAAAATTGCCTTTTTTTCTAATTATAGCGTCTGTCAATAGAAAAGATGATACAACATTTGTTCGAAATGACTCAACAGATGTTGTAGAATATGAATATTCAGGGATCAACCTTCATTTTTTTTATTATTCTGTCATCAAGAAATGTAAGACCACCACAGGAACGCATAATACCTGGGAACGGGGAAACCATGAATAACTGTTGACTATTGCCTTTCCACAGATTCCACATGCTATACATTTCTCCGCTCCCATCTACGTATACTCCGTGGCATCCTCATTACCGTTGTACTGACAGCATTGGTTGCTTCTGGCGTGGTTGTCCCTGTCATTTACTTCACTGCCACATCAGATATCTATCCGGTAAGTCGCCTTTTTTTAAACATACGTCGATGGATTTTAGACACCAAGATAATGAGTAAATATTGAAAAATCTATCCAGTAGTTTGATTAATTGTTTTCTTGTGTACCCTCTTTGATGTTCTAGTCACACATCACAAATATGTCAACCACACCGTCAGCCTTGACAACCGCACTGCCAGGGATGACAACCAAACCGCCAATGGTGACAACCACGCCGTCAGTAAATACAACCACGCTGCTAGCCTTGACAACCACACTGCCAGGGGTGACAACCAAACCAACAATGGTGACAACCATACCATCAGTAGTGACAACCACAGCGCTAACCGTGACAACCAAAATGTCGGAGGCTTTAACCAACCCCAGAATTGCGACAACCACCCAGTCAGCCATCAAAGCCACGCCGTCAGTCGTGAAAACCAAGTTGTCAGTCGTCAATACCACACCGCTAGCCGTGACAACCACACTGCCAGAGAAGACAATCAACCCAAAAATGGTGACAACCACGCGGCTAATTGTCCAAACCACGTGCACGCTGTCAGTCGCGACAACCACGCCGATAGCCTTGACAACCACGCCATCAGTCGCCACAACCACGCCGTCAGTCGTCACAACCACGCAGTCAGTCGTCACAACCACGATGTCAGTCGTCACAACCACGCCTTCAGTCGTGACAACCACACCGACAGTTGTGACAACTACACCGACAGTTGTGACAACCACACTGCCAGAGGTGACAACCACACTGCCAGAGGTGACAACCACACTGCCAGAGGTGACAACCACACTGCCAGAGGTGACAACCACACTGCCAGAGGTGACAACCAGGCCAAAAATTGTGACAACCACGCAGTCAGTCGTCAAAACCACGCAGTCAGCAGTCACTTTTACAGCTGCGAAGAGGTACGGCTGCCAAGTCGGATACAAACTGCTCGCCGGGGCCTGCTTCCGGCTAAACTTCCGAGAAATGAACTACGATGACGCCTCAGAAGCCTGCAAAAGAGAGGGAGCGAGGCTAGCCATGCCTAAAACAAAAGAATTGGACATGGCCTTAAGTAGACTGGTCTACGAGGAAGGCGAAAACAAGGTTTATTACATTGGGCTGAGGGACGGGGGGGCCTTCCGTCTTTGGGTGAGATGCTGGACTTGGGAGGATGGGTCTCCATTGGGAAACTACAAGGTACGTTTAGACCTTAAGTTGTAGGGAACATGTAGCTATGAAACGAGTGAAGTTGATGCATACTATTATGTACTTAACGGTTAACCTAATGTTTTGTGTTTGTGGTAATGTTGGTGTGTGTATGTTGGTGTGTGTGTGTGTGTGTGTGTGTGTGTGTGTGTGTGTGTTTCTGCAAAAATGTCTGAATTGTTAACATTGTGGTTTCATGGAAGTGTGAAATTTCCGAATTCTTTTTATCATTTGTATGTTAAACGTTTTATATATGTTTATACAGGGTTGGAATCCAGAAGAGCCATCTGGCACCAGATGGACTCACTGGACGGACATGTGCGTGCAGTACTGGTCAGGTGTCACTGGGTTTCCCATGTGGGATGATTACTGGTGCAGTGAAAAGAGAAGGTCTATTTGTCAAGCACCCCGAGTTTTGTCTTATCAGTGAAACAGGGAGTGGTGTTGGAGAGGGGTGCAATGAGAAATACATGTATTTCAGCCAGGCATTTGCAAAAGATTTTATCTCAGTTGTAAAATGTACCAATCTGCCTTTCTTTTGGTACTTCACCTTTCCCACGTCTCACTACAGAGTGACAGGGTGTTAGGTGTCAAATGTTCCCGGGTACCGGACATGTGTGGAACTTTTCCAATCCGGACATAAGATATACTAAAAGGCTCCGCCCCTGGGCTGTAGCCAAAAATCAAGCAACTTCGCAACCAAACCCACTGATAAAATTCACATGGTGTTTGAAACGTCTGCCCCATGTTAAAGACCCCATCCAGTTTTTTTGTTACATTTTTTATCTTTAATACCTATGTACCTATCTCTAACCTACACCCCACCCACCCACCCACTCACACACACACGCACACACACTCACACCTGCACACACACTCACACGCAAACACACACACGGACACACACACACGAGCACACTCACACACACACACACACACCTGTACACACACTCACACACACACCTGCACACACACTCACTCACACACACCTGCACACACACACACAGACACACACCTGCACACACTCACACACCTGCACACACACACACACACCTGCACACACACTCACACGCAAACACACACACACACGGACACACACCTGCACACACACTCACATATTTATCAAAACTGCTCAATGATTTATATCTATGGAATATGGTTAGAGTAGATTTTCTTGGAATCTGCAAATAAACAAGCAGAAAGTAATACATTTTGCCCTTTTATAAAGAGGCTAAAAGGATTTAGTGTGTTTCAAACAGAAATGCTACACTATACAAGTATAACAAGTGAAAGTAGTATTTGAGCTGGTGTGAATTACCAAGATTTATCTTATTTACACTATTCATTATTCATTTCAGGCTGAAAGGCCCATATCATTACATAAAACATGTAGTCCAATATGATACACGAAATAAAATACAGTGGTGTTTAAATGTACCGTCAAACTTGTATAAGAAGACCACCCTGCATGGGTATGATCAAGACTGTCTGTATACCAGACTAATGTAATGCTACCAGTAATTAGTGAATGAGAATATTTCAGAATGGATTACAAGTTTTGAGTTGTGTGACAAACGAATGTGTTAATTTCTTTCTGCAGGCTTAAAAAGTATGTACAGTATATATATACATAGCTGTCACAAACAGATGACTGGCACTTTCATATTTTCTATATGTAACATAATTGTAATACATTGTTGTAACAATGAAACTAGCAGTTTACAAATTGCACCCATAGTCAACACTGGGGTCAAAGTTATCTTGTAAACAATGTCAGCCCCCATTGTGATTGAATGATAGGTGATTGGCCCTGATGTAAATACATCATGTACTGTAATTCATGATATTTCCTGGAAATTTTATGTTCACGGTTTTGCGGTCACTTCTGCACTGCAAACTTACCATTACTATTACCGTGAAGAAGTAATTCACCCACTTTCTTTTTTCTGCACATGCCGCCACCAATAGAAGAAATAGTTCCATGAATATGTCCATTTTTCTCAGACTGCAAACTTTTGCTGCAAGTACTATTGAACATACATTTGCAAAGTGAATTACAGTAACCACACGGTTCATGGTTTTTCATTAGCATGGAGTTTGATATGGTGGGTCATGCTGGATTTATGCGCTGCTCTGAAACCACACTTCTCACACAGGTAGGGTTTTTCACCAGTGTGGATTCTCCTATGTTGGACTAAGTCTGCCTTTCGAGTTGCCCTGTATCCGCACTCCTCACACATGTAGCGTTTCTCATCTGTGTGTCTTGCTAGCCGATGTGTTTCCAAATTGGACTTCTGTGCAGCAGAATAGTCACACTGGTCACATTTGTGGGGTTTTTCACCTGTATGGGTTTTAATATGTTGGGATAAGTCGTGCTTTCGATTTGTCCTGTACTCACACTCCCCACACACGTAACGTTTCTCATTTGTGTGATGTGCTAGATGGTGTTGGTCTAATGACCATTTCTTTGTGGCAGAATAGTCACACAGGTTACATTTGTAGGGTTTTTCACCAGTATGAGTTCTCAAATGAGTGACCAAGTCCTTCCTCCAAATAGTACTATACCCGCACTCCTCACATTTGTGGGGCTTGTTTTCCATATGTTTCGCTCGGTAGTGGCCATCCAACAGGGATTTCTGTGCGGCAGAATAGTCACACTGGTCACATTTGTAGGGTTTTTCACCTGTATGGATTCTCATATGCCGTACCAAGTAAGAGTTTTGAGCTGTCCTGTACCCACACTCCCCACACATGTAGGGTTTGATTCCAGTGTGCTTTTTTAGATGTTGGTCCAAATTGACTTGCAATGTAGCAGAATAATCACACTGGTCACACTTGAAGGATCTTTTAGTTGTGTGAGTTCTAATATGTCTGGTCAAGTAAGAGTTTCGAGTTGTACTGTACCCACACTCTTTACAAATGAAGGGCCTATATCCATCGTGTTTCACTGCTCGATGGTGTTTCAAATGTCCTTTCCGTGCAGCAGCATAGTCACACTGGTCACACTTGTAGGGTTTTTCACCTGTATGAGTTGTCATGTGTTCGGATAAGGTAAAAAACTGGTTTGCCCTGAACCCACACTCCCCGCACATGTAGGGTCTGTCTCCTGCGTGTCTTCTTAGATGTTGGTTCAAACTGCTTTTATATGCTGTAGAAAAGTCACACTGGTCACACTGGTGGCATTTTTTACCTGTATGAGTTCTCTTCATATGTTGGGATAAGATAGACTTCTCACATGCGCTGTACCCACACTCCCCGCACACGTAGGGTCTGTCTCCTGAGTGTCTTCTTAGATGTTGGTTCAAACTGCTTTTATATGCAGTAGAAAAATCACACTGGTCACACTGGTAGCGTTTTTTACCTGCATGAGTATGTTGGGATAAGGTAGAATTCTGAATTGCCCTGGACACATCCTCCCCACACTCATAGGGCTTCTCACCAGTATCTGTTTCTGGCTGACTGTCCTCCTTGTGCAAACTGGATCTTGTTGGCTGGTCTTCAACATTTCTTGTATCCCTGTCCCATACAACTCCAATGGGAGACCCATCATAGGTGTTTTGGGAAACTGCAGTTGGAGACCCATTACCTGCCTCTGCCATTTCTAACCTAAAGGACAAAGTAAGATGAAAATATGAAACACATTTATTTACATGTATAAAACATGAGTGAGAAGTGCATTTATAAAAATTATAACTCCTGACACAAAAAAAAGCAAAAAATACAACAACTAACCAGCCTCCACTCCCACAATAATGATATTAAAAGCGTCCAAATGACGAAATTTCAGGGCGGCAAAACTGGATTTTCTGGTCATAATTCTTTTTTTACTGTCCACGCCCCCCCCCCACTCCCCCGCTTCATTTTATACACAAACCGTTTTTCTAAAGTTCAGGCCACGTATTTGTGATTGCCTTTACACATGGCTTCTGCTGTAGGATTGTCCCTTTTACGGTACTAACGCTACAGCAAAACTACTCCTTTGTCTCGATCGAAGGACAGTTGGGTTCGCCCCCCTCCCCAAGCATTTTCCCACCCCGAAAAAGCCTCACATATCGTCCAAATGTGGCCCAGATACGCCAGAAATGGCGTATATCTTCTACACTACATGAAAAAGACAGACAGTCGTTGTTTAATCGCGTTCCTTACCTGCTGCGAGTGATTTTTACCTCCGCAAAATCGTTTTCTCTTTTGTCTGCAACCGCTGGGGTTGAAAGGTCAACTTCCTATGGGCTGAAAGGTCATAATTTTTGCCTGATTATCCAATTAGTGTGTGGAAAGTTTGCCTACATTACAGAAGGTCATCATCTTTGCCTGATTATCCGATTAGTGTGTGGAAAGTTTGCCTACATTACAGAAGGACTGATTGCATCCAGCTTTTGTGTTGGTAAAGCGTGGAACGATTCAGCCTGGAACGATTGATTGTGAACTAATAAACTCTGTTGTAAACTAATGTGACATTCTGAGCATAGTAATTTCTTGTGTATGTGTGTGTGGGGGGGGGGGGG